TTTTTTTTTTTTGGTACCAGGGATCGAACTCGGGTCCTTGCACTTGCGAGGCAGGTGACGGAACCACTGGGCTAAATCCCCGGCCCGAAACAAAGTCTTTATAGATAGGGAGGGATGGAGAGGTTGAAGGGAGGGCAGGTGAAGGGGGAAAAATAAGAACAGAGAGAGATCATGTAAAGGGGCAAATTTCCAATGATGAATATCATATTGTATACCTAAAATGTACCAATAAAATAAAATTAAAAACAAAAACAAAAAGTACAGGCATTCACAGGAGGCACCATAACTGTCTGCTCCGGTGTGAAGTGCATGTGTTGGAAACTGAGTGCTCAGGACACTGGTGCTGGAGGAGAGGCTTTCGGGAGGTGCATAGGTCCTGAGGGCAGAGGGCAGCAGGAAGCCCTTAATGAATGACCCAGTCTCTCTTACAGTAGCACAAAACAGATAGAGACACCGACCTGAGGGAGCAGAGACCTTGGTTTTTATTAGACAAAGACAAACAATAAAGCAAATTTGAGGGCTGCTGGGGGCAGGGAGGAGAGCAGAGAACAACTCGGTAAGGGGATTTTTTTTTTTTTGATACCGGGGATTGAACTCAGGTCCTTGTGCTTTCGCAGCAGGCTCTGTAAAGGGATTTCTTTTGAGATGAAAAGGTTTGGGAACTCAATAGCAGACTGTGACTGCACAAAACTATGAACATATTAAACACCACTGGACTTTATACTTTCAAATGGTTAATTTTATGCTATCAAATTTACTTCAATAAAAAAAGATTTCTAGACTAGAAAAAAGAGCAGACAAATGGATCCAGTACTAAAAATGTGGAACAAGGATTAGTTTTTTACTTACTTTTTGTTTAAACACAAATGATTCCACTTTATCTATGTATGGGTACAATCTGGCAGACATGGAGCCATTGATGGAACAGGAAAGAGCTGCAGTAAACAGAAGGAACCAAGGCCTGATGCCAGGGCTGAGCAGACAGGACCTGGACAACCGGTCTTGAGACAGGGGACAGGGAAGGTGGGGAAGGCTGGCAGACAGGTGGGCACACAGAGGAAGGGGAGAAAGAAAGTGTGAGCAGACATCTGAGAGTGCGAGAGAGGGCTGAAGCTGGTGGGCAGATCGCAGAGAAAGCACACAGCAGGACTCGACCTGGCTGGAAGACAGAATGAGGGCAAAGCCACTGGAGGTGTTTATGAGAGAGTAAGAAAAAAAATCTAAACAGGGCTTAAAGAGGAAAGTAAAGGAAGCAGTGCCCAGCATCTAGTGAGAAAGAAAATGAGATCAAGTGGGATCAAAGAACTGTGAAGTGGAGGCCCCAGAGTGAGGTCAGAGTAAAGGCCACCAGAACTTAAATTTCAGCAGTCACCATGGAAGGGAGATGCCAAGGTTGGTGGCAAAAATGGCTCCTAGCGGTGTGAAGGCCCGGAAACTGTCAGGCCAGGGAGCTGGATAAAGCATTTATGTGGATGTGTGAGCCACAGAGAGTAACGACGGGAATAAAGCTAGAGAAAGACAGTGAGTCAGAACTGAAAGTTCCTCCTGAATGACAGTGACCAGGTGGCCAAAAGGTCACAGCTGGGAAGCCAGCAGCAGCGACGTGGCCTGAAGATGTGAATTTCAAAGGAACTGGGGCATCTGAAGAACACTGAGAGGAAATGTTCAGGATGTAAGGGAAGAGAAACAGGAATTCAGGACTTGCAGCCTTCACTCAGGGAGATGCACCCTGGGACTCATAGGACAGGCGCTCTGACTGGGACAATTAACTTCTCTCAGCCTCCCTTTCTTACCTGAGCAATGTGTTAAACATCTCGCCAAGTGTAGCAATGCAGCAGTTAAAGAAGCGACAAGGGAGAGCATCCAGGAAAATGCAGCTTAGCTCTCTCCAAGCCTCTAGCACCCGTGTTCCTTCCTGGCCTTCCTCCCGGCAGTCGGAAATCCAGGCTGGGCCTCTCAGGGCAGAGGTAGCCCGCGCTCTGTCCACACCCAGGAGGAAAGTGGTGAGAAGTGAATGTGCAGGCTACACACCTTGGCGCAGGCTACACACCTTGGCGTCTCTGGGATGCGATCCAGGTGGAGGGTGCGACCCTGGCTCCGCCTCCTCCGAGCCTCGAGGCTTGGGTTCGCACTTGCCTTTCTTGCAGCGGCCGCCACAGGATTTGTTCTCTCCTTTCCGCAGCATCTGCAGCCGAGAGATGAACCTGGCCTTCCAGGCCATGAAGTCGGCTTCAATGCTGCCGTGCTTGCTTCTGACCACATCGCAGTCACCCTCCCCTCGAGCCAGCACACGATTCGCTCCGAGCATCCAGAGCCACTTATCCACACTTTTGCCAACCTGCGGGAGAGAGGCAGGTGAGCCCAGTCACAATCCCCGAAATCGGGCTGCAGACTGCTCTGCACCAGCCCAAAGGGTCTCTAGGGCCCAGGGCAGCAGAGACAGCCGAGGTCCTGGGAAGGGCTCAGCAGGAAAGCGATCTGAGCTCTCCAGCTCCAGCCACAAGCCAAAGGGCTGCGTTTTCCACGTTCTTTCTGCAGATTTCTATGTTTAGCAAAGGGACAAATAGACTTGTTAAGCAGATAAAGGGTTAATAGCCAAAACAGAATTTGAAATCAACCACTCTAAATCATGGTCAGAACAAAATACTCATTAACAAAATAAAATGGTTCCAAAAATGTAACAAAACCTATGGAACTAAACCCCATTTACTACTAAAGTACAAATGCAATCAGTCTGGCCAGACATACATTTCCATAAACTCAAGAATTTATTTCATTGTGAGGTGGCAATAAAGATGAGGGACAGGGTCCAACAGGAATAGGACTCAGAATGCAAAAGCTTAGCAGGCTTCCTGAGGGGCAGGGCCTTACAGAAAATACTCATAAATCCTAACTTTCTCATTCTTAATCTAATTTCTTTAAAAATATGAGGGGAAATCTAGACTGTGATATGAAAATCACATAAAATCAGGTTAAAGAAAGCTGCCTGTCATCTCTCACACCCCACCCAAGACAGGCAAGCCCGGCAGGCCCCTCTCCAGGGAGCTGTGCACACACCAAACTTCTGACGACCTTTTAGAACCATGAAAAAAACAGGAGGTTCCATTGTTTTACTTTTTAAAGTACAGAGGACAGGATACAAAGGAAAAGGAACCAAGTCATTTCATTTAGAAAAATGATGCATGAAAACAAATCTTAATGTTTTATCACATAAAGGGCAATAAATGTTTTTCTACTATTCTCCTTTAAAAGTAAATGATTTAAAGAAAATGAGTTCACCTGTATTAAGACTTAGCTCAGGGCAGGCATGGTGACACAGGTTTCTATTCCCAGCACTCTGGGAGGCTGACACAGGAGGATTGCAAGTTTGAGCTCAGCCTGAGCTACCTAGCAACTCAGCAAGACCCTGTCTCAAAATAAAAAAATAAAAAACGAAGGGCTAGGGTGAAGCTCAGTGTGAAGGCCCTGGGTTCAATCCCCAGCACCACAAAAAAAGAAGAGAAAACAAAAAGGAGTTTGGGCAGTAAAGTTTATTTTACAAAACAACAGGCAGTTGACAAAGCCCAAAGACTCGGTGACCTTCCATCTAGAAGGTTCTGCCTGGGGGCAGGAGGCTGGACTTGGCACGGAGAGTGTCCCACTAAGACACTGGACAGTAAGGAGCACACTCGTGTTCACTGTATTCAACAGAAATATACTGAAAGCCCACTCTGCCTCAAGCTTGGGTACCTGCAGCAGGTGGCAGCTATAAAGAGTAACACAGGAGCCAGGCACAGGGGTACAAATCCGTTAATTCCAGCACTCTGGGAGGCTGAGGCAGGAAGATGGCAAGTATGAACCCAGTCTGGGCTACCTGGCAACTTATGGAGCATTTATTTTAAAATAAAAAATTTTAAAAGGGACAGGAATGTAACTCAATCCCCAGAACAGTGGGGGGAAAAAAAAGTAAGCCAAGGGGGTGTGGGGAGAAAGGAACCATCCTCCATTGTTGGTGGGAGTGCAGACTGGTGCAACCACTGTGGAAGTCAGTATGGAGATACCTCAAAGAACTAGGACTA